TTACTAAGTGAAAGAAGCCAATCTGAAAATGCTACATACTATATGACTCCATTCCTATGACATTCTGGAAAAGACAAAACTATGGAGACAATAAAATCAGTGGTGGGGTGTCTGAGTGACTCAGTCAGTTAATCCGCTGACTCTAGATTCCAGTTTAGGTCATGATCTCAGGATTGTGAGTTCAGATATTTCTTCTTCCAGCCAATCAGTGAAATCCCATGTGGGTTCCAAGCTTAGCGGGGAGTCTGGAAATTCTCTTTCTCCCACTGCTCCTCTCCCTGCTCTCTCTCTTAAATAAACAAATAAATTATAAAAAAAGATAAATGGTTGCCAGAGGTGGGGGTGGTAGGGGAGAAATGAACAGGTGGAGCACAGCAGATTTTTGTGGGAGTGAAATGCATTCATTATGACCTCATAATGATGGATATGTATCATTATACCTTTGTTCAAAGCCATGGAATGTACAATACCAAGAGTCAACTCTAGGGTAAACTATGGATTTTGGGTGATTGTGATATGTCAGTGTAGGCTCATCTTTGATAAAACAAACAAAAAAACTGTACCATTCTGGTAAGTGGATGATGCTAAGGGGGAGGCTATGCATGTGTGAGGGCAGAAGGTTCTGTACGTCCCTCTTAATTTTGTTGTAAACTTACACTACTCTTAAAAAAAAAAAAAGTCTTAAAAAAAGGAAGCTATTGCACTGCTTCTTCTCAAAGATGCCTCATAGATGTTCAAGAGGGACCTTTAATGATACTTTAATTGGTTAGTAAAGATAATACTGATGGCTAATGGAAAATAGCTAGCCCTGGACTCACTGGTTATGCAACTTGTGTACCCTGCCTGGAGTTGTAGCTTTGCATCTGTCTAATTAGATTTGTAAAATATCTTCAAATCCCAAGTTATTTTTTTTTTGTTATTTTTTTTTTTTTGACTGCCAGTGATCTGTAAGTTGTATATTCTCCCAAGAATTTCTTTGCTCATTGTTATTTGAAGCTATTTTTTAAGACTATCTTTACTGTTTGTTTTTGTTTTGATTGCCCAATCTTGTGTTTGTTGATTTAAAAAAAAAAAAAGTCTTGGGATATCTGGCTGGCTCAGTCGGTGAATCATATGACTCTTGATCTGGGGGTTGTGAATTTGACCCCTACATTGGGTGTCAAGATTACTTAAAAAAATAAAAATCTTTTTAAAAAGTCCAAATATGAGCCATTTTGGAATGAATAGTTTCTTCTCTTATTTCTTTTATTATTTGAACCACCCTTTTCTCCTATTGTTTTTGGACTGCTGAAATGAAAACACTTTAAAAAAACTTGTTTCCTGATCTCTCCCCATTTGGAATACCTTACTTTTGAGTCTGATCTTGTTTGCCAGTTTTCATGTTTCATTTAGTCCATGGATATCCCTAGAGTATCTTTCAGAAACCAGTATACTACCCACTTTATTCTTTTTACATTTTCCTCATGGCATACTTATCAAAGCTTTGGATCTCCATTCAGGTCTGGAATCTCTTCTAAGTTATGTTGTAATGTATATTTATTTTTTAGTTCTAATTAACATTTGACTTAGTTCATTTCTGTCTGGATATCCATCATTTTATGCTGAAAGCTAAATGTCTTACCTTTCCATCCTAACTTGTTCCTGTGCCCTCTTCCCTCTCTTGAGAATGATGTCATTACCCACTACATCTTCACTGCTAGAAACATTGGAGGCATCTTTCTTGTTCCTCATCCAGTAAGTCACCATTCTCATTGTCATAGTCTCACTTTATACATCTCATTCCATTTTAGATCCTATCATCACCTCCAGAGAAACAGTCTTTATAAAGTAAAACTATGTGAAGGGTTCCCAAAGATCGAGGATGCTTGCAAAAAGGGAGATTGGAATCTTGCTTCTCAGTTAGTCATTTGGCTGGCAGCTGACTTGGTCATTTGCCCTGCATCTACACGGGCAGGACAAAAGTAAGTAGGGAGAGATGACAGAGCAGGGGCACAGAGGCAAGACAGCCTCTGTCAGACACAACAGTGTATGTGTTCTTTATGGGTCGCTGGGCATTGCAAAGGACTGGAGGCTGGACAGAGGACTCAAAAAGAGGTTGTGTGGTATTATGATGGGAGCAGGAGCTGGAAGATTTGGAAGAGGATGATGCCTGCACATAGAGATTCACAACAGCTAGAAGAACAGAGATAGGCAGCCCAGACAGATGGCCGTAGAACAGGCCTGGAAAATGGAGGGTTCAGGATATGTCCCAGAGCAGATGACAGACATCCTACAGCCCCTACAATAAGATCAGGGAGAGGGAAGAAAATGAAGGACTTTCTCTTTCCTTCTTTAGGTCCCTGCAGCCACAAAGCTGGCCTAAACTGGGTAAATGACTGTGCTTAAATGTGATGGAAGGCTCAGTTGGCTGAGTGTCAGACTCTTGATTTCAGTTCTGGTTATGATCTCAGGGTCATTTGATGGAGCCCTGGGTCAGGCTCCACACTTAGCACAGAGTCTGCTTGAGGTTTTCTCTCTCCCTCTCCCTCTCCCATCCCCACCCTGCTCACTCTCTCTCTTTCTCTAAATAAATAAATAAGTAATCTTAAGAAATAAATAAATGTGATAGAAAAATAAGTTTTAAAGTGGATAACAATTGAAAATGAAAAAATTGTGACTTTAATAACTAGAAGCACTTGAGAGATTTTGAGATCTTCCCCAGACATGATTTAGTATATATCCACAAGATAGGGAAGTTTGACACAGAGCAAGGGGCAATGGGCTTACAGAAGAAAAGTATATCATTTCACCATCCACCCATCTGAGACAATAATTCAGTAAATCACTTAGCTGTTACCAAATTGCTTGGCATTTTTTTGTTTACATGTTTATTTCCCCTCCTAGGGCATCCATACTTGTATTTCATATATGCTCAAAGATATTTGTTAATATCAGAGAAAGACAATTATCATATGATCTCCCTGATATGAGGAAGTTGAGAGGCAAAGTGAGGTTTTGGGGGGTAGGGAAGGAAAAAAATGAAACAAGATGGGATTGGGAGGGAGACAAACCATAAGAGACTTTTAATCTCACAAAACAAACTGAGGGTGGCTGGGGGGAGATGGGTAGGGAGAGGATGGTTGTGTTATGAACATTGGAGAAGGTATGTGCTATGGTGAGTGCTGTGAAGTGTGTAAACCTGGCAATTCACAGACCTGTACCCCTTGGGCAAATAATATATTATATGTTAATAAAAAATTTAAAAAATTTAAAAAAGATATTTGTTAATGAATGATGGAATATATGCATGAACAAATCAGTGTTCAAAGCAGTGCACAAAGGTACATGTGAGGCACTCAAAAAGGAGAAGAGTTAGGCAAAAAAGAATAATCTGCATTCCTATGGTAACGGGTGCTATATAAATACTGAAACATGTGTATACCTCACTAAAAATGAAATTCCCAATAAGCTGCCTGTCTGTACTCCATCCTACTCTCCTTCTCATCCCGACCTCTCACTCTTGTAATCTAAATTCTTCTATCCCTGCATACAGCATATGATTGCTATTGTGCTGTAGAATGCCCCTTGTGTTTCTTGGCCATAGGCTATTGACTGACTGGTTCTAGATATTAACTACTGTTTAATTACTCTGAGGATGCCTATGTAAAATTTTGAATTAAAACAGGCCATTTTTTCTTTCTGGGCCATCATTTTTCCCATCCACATTTCTTCCATGCAGTTCTCTCAAATCATCTGATATAGTTGCTTAATCAGGTTTTGAAACTGCAAACACAAACTTTTCATGGTTTTAGACCCACGCCCATGGGAGGCTTGTTCAATAGACTGAGTATATGCTCCTTTTCTTCTTTTAAAATAAATAGTACTTTTCATTGCTTTCTGCTTTAGAGATACAAACCAATACTGCCATCCACTGTTCCTTTGGATAATCTTTTCCCCACAGTTCTCACCAAGATGTTTTGAAAGAAAGAAAGAAAGGAAGAAAGAAAGAAACAAAGAGGGAAAACTGACAACAAAATTAAGTTCTTTGAAAGAATGGGGACTTTGTTATTTCTGAGCAAGTGCTGCACATAAGATCATAAAGGAATCAAACATCATGACTTATCTTTTTTTTCCAAATGCCTTGATGGAGAAAACGCACTCTCAAAGTGTGACCAAGTAAATGAGCGATCTATGGAGTCAACCTCTTCCTAGACATCACAGGGAGGGAAAAATCACCGAGATCCACTTTGATCACAGTTTCACTTTGCTTCATTCAGCTCCCTAGGCTTGAGGCCATTTTTCATCGTATTCACATTCTAATGCTTTGGGAGGAGAATCTGTCTCCTCTTCCAACCCCATAAGCCGGGTATCTCTGTTTGTCTCATCCTGCTGTCCGAGAAGCCCTCCAACTCTTTGAGAGAGAAGTACATATTCCCAGGGTCTAATACTTAAAAGTGATTGTACTCCATTTTGTGCCACTCCATGCTGGCTTCACACTATTATATATCTCCTTTTTGCCTTACTCATCCTCTTTTTGGTTCAGTTTCCAACTAATACAGCTGTAACTAAGATTATGAAGAATTCTTTGTTTTTCTCTCACATGAACTAGAATCGACCTTTCAGGTAATGTAGACAAAAAAAAAAAATCAAGGGCCCAAATTTTGAGGCAGAGCATGTTAATGTTGGAAAGCCTTAGAGGTAAGCTGGTCCCATTTCCTGACTCTCTGAGGGAAGGAACTGAGACCCAGAGAGGAGATGTGAAATGCCTTGAGCTATGGAATCAGGAAATGGCAAAGCCAGTGGTAGAACCCAGGCCTCTAAACCCCTGGTCAAAACCTTTTTACTGTAGAGTGTTCCTCCCAGAAGCACAGTCCATCTCTCCATCCCTGGGTTACAAGACATCATAAACGACTCTTTAAAAAATAACATAAACACCTCTGAAGTCATTTTTTGTTTCTCTGTTCCTTTTATACTCCTCTTGACTCTGGCCTCCCAGAAGCCATGGGATGTCTAGGTTGGGAGCTCACACCAGTAACATCCTTCTTCCACCTCACACAGGAGAGGAGAAAGTACGTGAGCATGATGATCTGGAAAGGGAAACAGAGAGGATGACAGTCTGTCTTAGGCCTATTTTCATATGAGGACCATCAAATGTTATTTTGCTTATCTAGATTTATAGCTCTTACATTAGGAGATCTCAATTCCTTCATTCATTCAGGCACCATTTAAGTTTGAACTGTTCTTTGGGTCTATGCAAGTCATATCACTTTATTATCTCTTGAAAGAGCCCCAAAGCAGGCCACATGATAATTTTAGAAAGCTGAGTAGCTCTCTCCATGTTTGTTTAGTGCTATTCATTCGGCAACCACTATCTGCTTGAGAAAACACACCAATATGCAGTTTCTGTTCCCATCAGATTCCCATTCAAGAGGGGTGGTGGCACTTTCCACTTTATGGATTGTCATTGTGTGGGAGTGAGGCTGAGCTGTACAAAGTTTTACTGCAGAAGAAGATGATGTCAAAATGTTTCAAAGAAAATTCTTTCTCTAAAAATATTTTTTTTTTCTAAATAGATGATTTAAAAAGATAAAAGAGATTTAGAGAAGTTATTGGAAGATGGGAGGTATAAAATACACTGAGAAAAGGACCCCACTGGGCAGAAAAGGGTAGTGATCCGTTTCATTACAAAACAAAGGTAGTAAGAAAATAACTATTTCCCAAAATCATATTAGGTACCAGGCATTGTGTTAGGAAATTTGAATGTATTATCTCATTCTCGTGAAGCTCTAGAAGTAATTGTAATTATACCCATTTTTCTGGTGAATAAACAAAAATTGGGATCACAAGGGGCTTTCCTGAGATCACTTAGAAGAGTCGGTAAAGAATTGGGGGTGTGTTAGAATGGAAAGCTTACAGAAGCAAGGGAGCTTAGGGCATACACTAGCAACAGGAAGTTGATCTACTTGTCTGGAGTAGATAATCATAAAAAAGTATTTGGATAGGGGCGTAGAAAGATAGAAAGTCTGAATGCTAAGTTAATTTTGTTCTGTAGACAATGAAGAATTATCGGTGCTTTTAGAGATAGGAATAGTCATCAAAATTGTGTTTTACAATGAGAAATCTGGTAGCCGTGTAAAAAGCAAAACTTGCAAATAATGTGACCAATTTGAGAGCTATTCCTGTAGTCCAGGAATGATGCTAAAGGGAAGATGAGGAGAAACAAGTTTTTACAGGGTGGCCTTAAAGTTTAACACAGAATAACCTGACGATTGTTCATTCACTCATTCATTCCACTAGTATTTATTACTGTGCTGAGTATTTGCATCTTACACTTCAATTCAGGAACATCTACTTTTCTTATGAACATTGTACTTGGAAATATTTGTAGGTTAACATACAATTAGAAAAAATAATGCAGAGATATCCTGTGCACCCTTTACTCTGTTTCCTCTATTGGTAAACATCTTCTAAATTTCTAGTATAATATCACCCCAGGATATTGACATTGATCCCCTGATCTTATTCAGATTTTCCCAGGTTTACTTATACTCCACAGGTTTAAAAAGCATTATTTATTCTATAGGCCTAGTAGGCTATTGCTATGCTCAGTTAATCAGTTTCTATCATAAACCCTCCCCACTTCCATAGCTCTCAGCAAGGAGAGTCTAAGAACATCGTTAAAGGTGCCCTACACCAGTCCTTCCTTTACTCAGGTCTGAAACCAAGAGGTCTGAAACTGCGTTTAAATCTTACTTCTTGTGGTTAAAACCTATGATTTCCTTCAGCTGGCTTTTATCCAACATGAAAGTTACTGGGACTTGTTAGACATTTTTCTTCTATCATTGAAGTAAACACAGTCCATTAATATACTGAGATGGTCTTCATTCTTAGAAAGGTAGGCATTCTGCTATGCTCAGGATTCATCTTCTCCTCTAAACTGTATGGATTTGTCTACTTGATGACTTCCAAATGGAATATACCAGGCTCACAGATGTTATTTTTGACGAGGCATGACTTTGGGTGATATTCTTAACCTCTCTGGGCCTCAGGATTGTCTCTTCCACTTATGAGTCATGATGCTGGAGGAAGCAGACCCTGCAATTTCTGTCCTTTTCACCTTTGTTTTGTACCTGCTTTTTCTCCTTTCAGGCTCTCATTTTCCTTGTTGATATCCCCTGAAATCTTCTCTTAGGAGAGGAATTTGAGGACTTAATGCCACCACATACATGGCTCAAGCAGCTAACAAATAGGAATAAAGGTATGGGTGTCCACCAGTGCTTTGGGGATGGCATTTGGGAAGATCCAGGATTTCCTGTCTATGGGCAGAACACTAGACCATGAAGACAGACTTCCTGGATTTGAACCCAGGTTGTGCTATTTAGTGGTTATGTGATGTTGGGAAATTATTTACCATTTCCGAAGCTCAGTTTCTTCATTTGTAATATGTGACTAGTTAATAGTACCTTCTTCATAGCATTAAGTATTAAATGAGCTAATTTAACTAAAGGTTGTAGTATAGTGCTTGACACATAATACACATTTAACTATTAGTGTTATAACTTAGAAAGTCATAGATATGAATGGCAGATGGCATTTATGTAGGACCTGTAGACCTCCTGATGGGTGGATTATTTTTGAAAATTGTCTTATTTCCCAAATCTTCTCTTCTCTTCCTCATAATTGCTGTGTTGCTAGATGATATGTCAAAATTTGACAAATATATGAATTTTTATACCTAAAGAGCAACAAAACACATTTTTAGTGGAAACTTTCTTGCATCTATGTCATGCCACAAAGCTATCTCAGTGTGTTTTTGGAAAAAAGGGAAGGGGACAGTGTAACTGCGCACATGTTACCTGTAGTCTTGTGTTAACACCTTAGACTTGTTAACTCAAATAATCTCTAAAATAACTCTTTGGAGCAGGTATCAAATTTTGCATTATTTAGAAGAGGATACTAAGACTTGGAGAGATTACATAACTTGTTGGAGGCGAGAGATCTAATCCCTGGCAGATCAAAAATAGAACATGGTAATCTTTACACTATAATATATCTCCTCCTTTGTTTATTCCATGCACTTTTGGAGAAACTTCAGTACAAAGAAATAATGGCTTAATATAGATACCTTAATGCAGCAAAAAAAGGTCAAATATTTGGCGACCATTTCATGGGAAAATAGTTTTTAAAGGTCCATTTTGATATGGGACTGCCAAGCCTATATTTTCATTACCAATTCTAGGATTTGGGGAAATTAAATCAATTAACTTTCTAGAAAAAAAATTTTTTTAAGCTTGAATTAGAATAATCTTAATCAATGAAAATGATTCTCTCTTTAAAATCTTTGTGTTTCTTGCTTTGGGTCTTCTATCTATGTAACAGTCACAAAATAATATTTGGGAAAGGAAATGAAAACAGTAGAACCAATGATTTTGTGGTCTTTAAGATCACCAAAATGTTTTCAACAAAATGCTGATTCTCACCATGTCTATCCCCATTTCTTTTCTGCCAGTGATCAAGCTAAGGTTAGGAAGATTACCAGATTTCAGCAAATGCTAACCAAAACTGAATTAATATCTAGACAAAATGCCCTCTGAATAAATTCTTGTCAGGGTCAGAGGGGATTCCCAATTCTGGAAGGGGAAAGGTCCTTTGAATGAAGGAAGGTTGGAGGTCAGCAGTTCCTGAATCCATACCTCAACAGGTCCCACCCTGTCTTTCAATCACAGGCAAACCGAGTTCATCGCACTGTGGTCCAAGGCCTTCAGGATTCTGGAAGTCATCACAGTCTTTGCCTGATTCTTTGTAATTAGTCTCTAGTCTCTTTTTCTTCTTTGGTTATTTGATCCTGATTTTTCTTGTATCACCTCTGGTTTAGCTTGCTTGTTTTATGTGACAGAAACTCAAAGAAAATTCAATTGTGTGAAAAGAGAGGAGTTTATTAGATCATGGAGTCTGAGAAAAAGTTGATCACTAATTAAACTTTGGATCTAGCTTAGGATCCATTGGCTTCAGCAGTTACATTTGAATTATTCACTATATCTTCAATGTCCAGTTCGTACCCTTCATATTCTGCCTAAGATTTTTAGGAAAATAAATATGTAACATTTTGCTTGTTTATTTATCAGGACTAATATGGTATCCTAACAAATTTGAATCAACTGCCAGATACCACCATCATGTCATTAACTAGATTTCTTACCACATGATTTAGATCTTAGAATTTTTGCCATTGAAGTTGTATGTAATCTATTCAAATTTAGTTTAACTAAGATCATAATATAAAATTTAATAAGGACCTTACAATAATACTGGAAAAAATTAAGAAGAAAAGCTCCACCTGTACTTGAATTACGTTGAGCCATGGCTGATGTGTTTTTTTAAAATAATAAGTTAATAGTCTTCCATCAAGACTTCTGAATATATATCCCATTCTGAAAAATGTTTCTGTACCCAATTATTACTTAAGAGTGCCCAGTTCACCTCAACCTACAGTTTAATAAATATCCAGAAAAGCTGAATTGCTGACATATATTCAGAAGATAGTCTTCCCACCAAATAATCATTTACCTCTACAAATGCTTTTGCTACTATTGTATAGGTGAGTGATAAAGATAGAATTTTAAAATAGAGATATTGGCTTCATCATACTCATTTTTAATGTTCCTTCAATTTTGAAATGAATTATTTTTGGTTAAAAAAAGAAAATACTTTGCTGTCACTGTACGTTCTTCATCAACATTTTATTTTCATGTGGGCTGGCATTATCTGTCAAATTTTCAAATAAAATTGTACATTTTAATAAAGAGCTCTCTTAATCCAATCAAAACATCATGATATGGACTTTCATATGAGAGGAAGATGGAATAGTTGTTGCCATACCAAAGCTCCCATTGAGAACAGCTAGAAAAAATAGATTAATTAAAGGATCATATGTTTAACAGGAGTAGACAGCTACTGAAGCAAGGAAGAACAGTGGGATTAAGAATATGGAAAGGGGAGAGCCATGGAGTAGTGGGCTGACATTTTGTAGTTTTACTTTGGTTGTATTTGCAAATTAGAGGTATAAGCAAGAAACGGAGTTTGCCCA